TATCTCGCCTTTTTTCCCTCCACTGCAGGGATTCAAATGACGACTTCCAAGCGTTGGTATACAAATCTTCATCCATAAGACAGCCTTTTCTTAGCACCTCTGCCTCTTGAAGATGCTTAAGCGCCGCTTTGAGCCCATTTTTAACAGCGTTCGCTGTGTTGCCGTACTTATCATTAATCAGTTGTAGCGTCTCTGCAATGTCATTCGTTGCTGATTGGACTTTATCAGCAACTTGCTGTCGCTTTACTCCGAGCCTAGTGACACTTTCTTTTAAAGAGGCAAGCTCTTCCTGGGTATGGTGGCTAAATACCGACACGTTGCTAACCTCGGTGTCGTTAGTGCCTATACTTGACAGGCTTCCTCTTCGTCCTTTGTCTGTAAGGAATGGCCATGGAACATTTAGCAGTCCCAGTTGGCCATGAGACACGTCTTTGTGGCCCCCCCAGAATCCGTAGGGCCTGCGTCAGTCACCCGGGCTTTCACCAGATCGGAACTGCTGGTGGATTCCCTCAGAGAGGTTACCGCCTGGGGTACTTGTTTTACATCGACGTTTTTCATTTTAGCATCTTTTTAGTGTCGTACTGACCCGCGAAGGCCAGCACTACCCTTTTTTCTAGAAATAAGTATTTGGAAAGGGTTAAAACCAGAGCAGCAGCCCTCTCTGTTACCAGAGAAAACCGCTACTTGCTCGGGCCGGCCGGGAGTCGCCACTCTCCCTCAGTCCCACCCACGGAGACTGCCTTGGCGTTGTGTAACAAGTGTAAGAATGGTGTTCGTGTGTAATGTATGTATTTGTTGGTACACAACGGTCATCCCAGCGAGACGAGCGGCAGGTGTACAGTTCCGAGACCGCGCAGACAACCCAACAAAACGGGCTGGCGTAAGGCACTAAGGTGCCGCCATATAGCCTCCTCAGTGGTAGTAATCCTAGATTAGTCGGCCCGCCACGTCTTTTTTGTTCATGAGGCGTACAGCCATATCAGATGTGGTTATCCAGACTTACCCGGGCCTCATCATCCGGCTTCACCCGTTGCTGGGCCTCCAACGCAAGCCCGGAAAAGGACCCGCCACACGCAACCCAGAACAATCCGTAAGTGTCCCTGTGTTTGTTTAGTGAGAGTATGTGATGCACGTATCTGAGAAGAATATTTTAACCGCCGCTTACTTCTATACACGACGGGTGCTAGTTTTTGTTGGCCCGCATCAAGCAATGGAGTGCCACCCACGGAAGCAGCAAAAAGCGAAGAACAAGGAGCACAAGCAGAGCCGGCCCATGCATCCACACCGATGGAGGCATGGGGCACTAGTCCCCCGTCCACATCGCCGCAGATACACACACCAACGCCACACACGCTCCCCGATCCACGCCCTCGACCACCACCACAGAGAGCCACCCCAGCTGCCCATCGTCACCTCATATTTTAAGAGGATGCCCCTATCCACCACCCGGGGAAGCGCCCGGTATGGAGAAACTAGCGAAAACCCCACCCGGGAGCGTGCATGTAAGTGAGTCATGCATGGTCGTAGTACCTTAGCTACGAGCATTCTTGTAGGTGATTCACCTCTTTGCAGATGCACATTGGCCCCTGCGTTTTGTATTTTAAAATTGGACCGGAAAGTTTTGAAGCAAGAGAAAAAAAAATTAATGTGGATACACCGATGTTACAATTTCATTATTAAAATAAATAATATTTATATCGTCCATAGGCTAAACAGCTGCTGCAATATTGCACAATCTTTTGTTTTCTATATCATACTGTCCGTCTGCAGTGACTTCATATTCGATACCAGGAGGACCTTGGTTACTGCTTTCAGTCTTACCTAACTTACGTTCGAATACGTCAATGCTCATGTTGATACTAACTCAAGTGTGTACATGCTTCAGCATAAATACCCTGTTTCACGCAACTCTTTGATAATTGATGGTATCTCATTATTACGGCTATAGTTCCCTGCTGATCTTTCAGTTATAAGTAGTTTAAGGTGATTAAATAAATCATTTGGATCATACCAGTGCACATAATCTATACTTGTTGAAGCATGTTATTCATTGTTTAATTTTGTAGTTAGGTAACAATGATCCTCCCTCTTTTTTTACTTTCAATAAAAATAAACGTTGGACCGATGATGACACTAAATTCATTACTATTATGCTGTCTGATAGCTCCATTTTTGCGATATTCTTTTCTGTGTGCATTTAAAGTATTACAAAATATAAAATATTTTTCCAAATCACTTTTAGTAATACTAGATGTATCGAGATGTATTAAGAAGAAGTTCCATGAATCCTATGGTTATTGGAAATTCTAACTCATCTATTCTAACTTGTTTACTATTCATTTCATCATCATAATTACTTATCATCATCATCACTTTGACTGACATCAGACTTACACATTGCGTCATCATCACCATACTTCTTTTTTCATTATTTTTACCAATAGCTTATTATTTTTATATGATTTTTAAAAATACTCATGTATCTCAGAATGGTTTATTTTATTTTTTTTTTTTTTCGTTTTAGTAACAATTTTCTTAAGAGGATCTATTATTGGCTCAAAAGTTTCACTAAGGACCTTTTCAAACTCATTTTTTTCAAGTTTAAGGGCATTCAGTATATAGGCTGGAGTTTCTACTTTACCAACTTCTGTATGGTGAGAAACTATGGTTAATAACTTATTATCTAGCTGTTTAAATCTCAAATAAGGAGAAGAGCCCCCAAGATGGCACTTTGAGGAATCAATCGAGCCCAAATTCAATGCAATCTGTTGCGAATTAAGAGAGAAAAGTTACATTTCCTGAGCATGAAAGACTATATATAAAGACTGTAAGATAGCTATTAACTAACCATAATTTTTCACAGTAGAGAAGTTGGTAAAGTAGAAACTCCGGCCTATATACTAAATACCCTTAAATAATCTATACTTTTGTTTTACTGCTTCTCTTGCTTTAGTAGTTGACTGAGTACGTATTTTTCTATCCCATGCATGTTGATGCAGTAACGTCTCATAGTAGACTAAATACAGTCTGCTACATACGTGTAACATTCATAATAAAATTATCAAAGCTCTTTGTACACCAACCACAATTTATTTGTATATATTCATCGATAATAACGAACCCATGTTAATCATCATTCCAACAGTTGGAGCATACATTTTATAACGTTTTGTAGAACATGTCAGAGTTAACGTGATCACGTGATACACATGTTTAAGATTAATTTTTCTTGGCAAAATAGAGCTACAAGATTAACGTTACCCCTCACAAAGTGTTTTCATACTTGTGCATTTGACTAACAGAGATATAAGCAGTCCACATTTTTGTGTCTTCTGATACAGTACGAAGCTCTCACATTATCTTATTTTTCACAACTTTTTAAGTGATTTGGTATATATATACATAATATTAAATCGCAACCTATCAGGATCTATAATTAGCACCGATAAAATGTTCGTTTTACTAGAATTAGATGGACTACAGAATATAGGTTGAATACTGTTAGGAAGTGATTCACCATGTCAATTTGGACGCTTTTCTTGGTTTACAAAATCGTCAAAGTTTTGAATTAGCAATTTCATTTTCATTTCTCTATTTAGCGCTTAGTCATGATCCAACTTTTTAAGAGCGATAATCATTCAGCGTAAGAGAGAACGAAGCTTTTTAAACAAGGCTTGAAATAATTTATGCATAGAACTTCACACACCAGGCTATCAGTATTGATATTATAAAATTTGCTTACTTAAGTATCTTTAAAAACATAAATTTATAACTATGAGCTATCGAATGTGGAAGCTGTATGAATATCCGCTACTACCCACTACATCAAAACACATATGGACAGTTAAGACTTATAATCATTTGGAAAAGCCACACTATATTATTTTAGCTTTTCAAACTAATCAAAAGAACCAGATAGCTGTTACTGCTAGCAATTTCAATCAATGCTTTACGAAAAATGTTAAACTTCATCTTAATTCGCAATATTACCTTTACAAGGATCTCAATATACAACACAATCATATCAGTGTGCATTGTTGTATGATATATACGCCCATTTTCTAAATTTATATTTAAGTGAAGATTGTGCACTATTATTAGGCAAAAATAAATTCTATTCTTATAAATTTCTAATAAATTCTAACCTACGTACCTTTTATTGACATCACTAAAAAATGTTTCAGTAAATGTGCATTTAGAATTTGAATCGTATGGAATTTTTCCTAACAACACTTCAGCCTATTGCTCAATTCTACACGATCGCATTATCCAGTACAGTCCAATGAGAGGGAATGTCAAAGACGTATGTAGAGTGTCGTGGAAGTAAATAATCTTTAAGGAAGAGGTAGGGGTACATCACTATAAAAGAAACTACAGTCAGACTTTTTATAAAAAACTTTCTTGGAAAAGCTTTTGAAAAAGTGCACCGTTAGGTATATGCAATATTCAAAAATGGTAATTTTAAGATTCTCTATATTTTTTTCCCGGCCAAATTTTTTAGACGCTTAAATTCGTTGCAAGTTAATACAATCAAACCATGTACGTAGTGAGAAAGAGCCGTTAAATGTAAAATTGACTGTAAGATTTTAAGTACCACGTCTTCTCTATCAAGCTAAAAGATCCAATACCACTGAGACATAACATCATAAACGTCAATAGTTATCTAAACTTGAGAACTTTACAAACATTGTAATAGAAAAGATTTGTGCAACGGTAGGAAGTAGTATTATCAGGATCAGTGACTTAATTAGATTGTTTTCATTTTTACAGAAAAACCAAAAATGACGTAGCTGACTTTGCTGGAAGCGCTCTGTAGCACCTATATTAAATTTGCAATTGTATCAGCATTTGTATTTCGTGGAGTGTTCTGATAACCTTCCTGAATTTACCGAGTCGTAACATTTGCGAGAGCTTGCATATGAGACAATGGCTGTAACCAAAGCAGTGACGGCGATTACTACAGAAATGTGGGGGAAGGAAGAGCTTGTATCGACCCTGGGCTCGCAACAGCAAACCAGAAATAATAGCCTATATAGACTTCAAATGGCTAAGGTGATAAAAGACTTTTATGACAGCTTTGATGATACCAATTACGTCTTAATTGTGCTTTACATCGTGATTATAGCACTTGCCTTGATTTCAAACATACTAGTTATCATTGTTGTATTTAAATATCAGTATATGCGCAGGTGAGTTGTATTTTTTAAAATTTTTATCAAGAAAATATTTAAGTTATCACCAGAATAATACAATCATTAGTGCATTACATTTTCATCATTTTTCTGGTTACGCTTGTATACATTTTTTTCAGCAAATTACATGAATAATATGTCGATTCTTTTTACTATTTTGATTAAAACTTGTTATTTTATGAGGAAAGCATTTTTCGTTGCATAAAAATTTACATTTTTTTAACCATTTTGTAAGCATTAATTTAACGTGTAATCAACATAGAATCAACAATGTAATTTACAACTGATTTCAGCGTTATTTTAGTATTGATATTTTTTATAGAGACAACGTACATTGAGTAATTATATTTTATATTTTTGTTATCAGTAGTATTCTTACAAAGTAGAGTTTTTAGATTATGGGCGGACAGAAGCATTAAAAAATTCGAATTCTTCAAGAGGGTTTAAAACTTTTAGATTAAATGCTCGTGCTTATACATTAAAGATTAATGTTTGAGATTTATTATAGTATAAGTGTTACCTTTTTTTAATTGTCTTTAGTGACAGTATAATATTATGCAGTTCCTAGAATTGATAACAATACCTTACAGTAATATTACATTACTTATTAAGTATACTTAATAAAGTGATACTTCTTAAAAAAATAAATTATAAGCGTACTCTCAAGTAGAGTACATAAACAAAAAGATTATCTACATCAGTAGGGCTTTAGTAGGCGACAAATTCTAAGCATCTCCAGTAATATATCTATTTGGTGAAACCGAAAAAATAAAGAAAATAGGATGGATGAAGGACAAAGCCTGGGAGAGAGAAAATGTATTAGGTATACAAACAAATGATACGAAGCTTCTGTAGTTTATTTGAGAGTATCTTTCGTCTCTATTGAAGATAAAAAGACAGTGATAAGCTTTACCAATATCTCTAAAACGAAGAAAGTCGAAAAAATAGATTAACTAATAAAACAACTCTGAGGTGCGATTGGATGTCTTACCATTAGTGAAATTACAATTAACATGATTTTAATGTTGATAAGGTAAATGGACTTTTCAAAAATGATAAATTATTTAAAGAATTAAGGATAAAGTAATTGTTTTGAAAGTGAAATTTTTTGGTTATTATTCGACACCCATGAATGGGGGGAGCTATTTTCTTTTTCCATGCAATAGCTGAAAATTAACTATTAGGAATCAAATGAAAATTAATTTATTAACTGCAACAAAAATACATAGGTTTGGAAGTCGAATAAAGTATTTTCACAACTACAGTTTTTCTGATATAATCGATTTTTTTCTAACGTTTCGACCATTAATTTGTCTAATCATTTATGATTTAAAAAGTATGCGATTTTGGCTAATAAAGATGAAATACGAAGATACTGTTTTAAAATGAGATAAAAAATTACGAATTTTAACTATTTGGCTAAATAAATCTACCGTTACCCAATTTTGTGCGCTAAGCCTTAAAAATACTATCATAACATACTTACGATGATTTGAACGCAAATTTCTACTATTTTTGCACTACTAAGGTATCATATCTCCAAATTGTAAAAAAAGGGGTTTGATCAGCATTTCATTTGAACCTTTGGAGAGTTTAGAAAAAGACAGTTGCATATTCAAAATAAATGTAAGATTTTATTACTTATACTTAAAACTGTAAGAAATTCTTGTTTAATAATAACATCTTGTTCACTTTTGATAACCTGTAACAACAGCTCTTCTGCACTTCTACGGGTTTCCCAATCTTACCTTAGTTTGCAGACATTTTTATAACTGCTAAATAACTTGCTATACTACACTGAGAAGTAAATACAACTATGCTCTGCTGTTTCGTAACCGTCTTGTAAATGATACCATTGCATGCATGCATAAGTGCCATATGAATGCTGTAATGTAAATGATATTATTAATAACCATCATTCTTTAAAATTCAAGCATAAACTAAAATATAACTACATAATTTTGTTGACAATTATGAGATGATAAAAAATTCAAAAATTACTTCTAAGTATAGTTATTCATCATCGTATTATACTATTTTACACCAGCAATTAATATAACCAAGTGTCATGTACAACGTAATTCGAAATCAAATACAACACATTACGATTTAATGCAACCGGGTTCAAAGCAACGTTAGTATGCTTTATGATTGTCGTCAAAACTATAAATGTTTATTCCAGTGACGTTGATTTTGACAACAGTTAAGTGAAACGACAGCTCTGACAATGGCTCTTTATAATTTTGACAGCTAATCACAGAGCAATAAAAATGGGAAGTTATATCGAACTGCCTCGTGATTGAGTGCTAAAATAATGAACAGTCATTGTCAGAGTTTGCGTTGCGCTGAGCCGTCGTTAAAATGTATGGCGTTGTAAAAGTAATTCGTAGTTTTGTTATAAAATTAAAGTGTACCATCAATATTTAGAACTTTCCTTAAATACTAATCTTTCACAGTTTTAAATACCTCAATAAACATCCAAAGTATTTTGTAAGTGTTTGATTTCAAAAAAAGTTTCTATTACTATACAAAAGCCGTTGTAGATGAATCAGAAGAACCTATCAAGCAAATAAGCTTTTTTCAACAGCTCAGAATAAACATTAGACACGTTAACATTGGACAGATATTGAAAAATTTGTCTGTGAAAATCACATTTAATTTGATTAGCTGATGAGATTCTACCACTATCTATACTAATTGTTCGTTTATGCACATTAGACATTAATCTTTGCATGGTTAGAATACTCTATTTACCTACTGTTTGTGTGCACAAGTTTAAGAGTAAAATAGTATAATGTAATGAAAAATAAATGCTAACGATTATTTAATTAAATCGACTGTTTTACATGCATTTTTTGTTCGATAGTTAAAAAAAATATTTTCAGACAGTCAAATCCTGCTACTCTCGTCCTTAAGGAAACAAAAAATGCAAAAAAACAGTCAATTTTATTAAATTATTTTTATCATTAATTCTTCATTACATTATGCTACTTTTTCTCTTAAACTTGTGCGTACAAACATTGGGTAAATACAGTATTCTAACCATACAAAGATTAATGTCTTATGTGCATAAACAAACGAACAGTATAAATATTACCTAAATACTGTAATAGCTAATACCCTCTAATAGATAAATAAGCTCCGTCGATTGAAATTTTATCGGATTTCTCTTTTTTTTAAAGAAGATCTGCAAAGTTAGAGAGGAGATTGAGATACATTATTTAGTTTTAATAAAAGGCCAATATTTTTTACTTAAATAAGAATTACATAGGAGCTGATTTTTTCGTAATTTGACGTATTTTTTATTTCCAACTTACCTTATCTTTTTAAAAAAAGCTACACTAGAGAGGAATAATCCCTTAAAAATAATAAAAAAACTTTTTTTAAATATTTATACATTTTCAAGTTTTTTAGAAAATGTACTTGTAAAATATTAAAATTAGGCTAAAAAGAACATCATTCGAGTTATTATGAGTACTTGATGCTAATAACATAATCTTAAAAACGAAATGTGGTCAGTTCTGAAAGCGCAAAAGAAATTTTTTTTTAAACCGTACACATCAAAGCTCAAGAAAACGGAGATTAATGAAAGTTCAACTGCATGGGAGTAAAGAAGGAATAACATGAGTAATAATGGCGGAAGTTGATTGAACTGACTATAGATACGCCTGCAAAACTTTGTCATATGATGATCAAATAACTTTAGAACATCCTAATACACAAAAAGCATCTCAGGTAAACAGCTTTTTTATAAATATGAGGTATTTTTCACTCAACTTGTTGAAAAGGAAAATAATAGTTATTATATATGGGTAATCGTCTTTATTTGTGTAATGTCATATATTTTCCAGGTGGCAAAAAAGTTTCATAGAAAAAAGAATGTAGTGCTAAAAAATTCAATTGTTTCTTAATTTTTTAGTACATGGTACTTTCCCTTACAATGTTATCAGAAAGATGGCAACGCTACGGAGGACAAAATTCAGTCGTAGTTTCATTGTGATTATATTATTGCAATTCCTCCAGATATCTCCAATGATAAAAAAGCTTGAAAAAACTCTATTTTCTTATAAGCTATTAAACTTTCAATCTTACTAATATATAAAGCAAATTCGCTAAAACCGTTGTAATCGCTAACCACGAAAACTACTAAACCGATTTTGCTGAAATTTTGCACACTGATTCATAATACTTCCTAGATGGTTTTAGTATGGTTTTTATCTTTAAAAAATATAATAACAATAGCAATAAATGAGCTCAAAGTCTTGCAAAAATATGCCAGCTTTTCACTTTAGTTCAGCAAAATCCGCTAGGTGGTGTCGACATAAAATCAAAGCTACCTGCAACATAATTAAATAAGTGTGGTTACAATAGGCCAGAGCGTCTCCATAGTGGTGTAGGCGAGCTTCGGCAGTTCAACGTGCTGTATAGAGAATGCTGATGACAGTCTTGCAGCTGGGTATCCCGGTTACGGACAACACTCTTTTCTAAGGGGGAAGGGACCTAGGTGTCCATTCAGCCTGAATCTCGACGAGTACGATAAAAAAAAATTCATTCCAACCGATGACGTCTCTGGCATAATACCAAGAGACATATCTAGCCAGAGCATAATCTGCACCAACTCTTCAGAGTTGTGTGGCAGTCCCTCCATCCCACCTGGTGCAGTTAGAGAATTTTTGGCTACAAATGTAAGCAAGGGAAAACAGCTCTGAGGGGCACGGGCAGCCACAACGGTTACCTTCTTGGTCGTCGCGTCAACAACGCGCTTACCCACATGTTCCCGTCTAACAATGAGTGGTTGGTTATCCGGGAAACGACCCAAAGACGAGATATTCTTTGGTCAGCAGCGTACCTCCCTCCATCACAGTCTCCGTATATCAAGACTCCCAGGATAAGAATCAAGCTACCCGTAGCCAGCTCTTCATCATCAGGAATAATAGTAAAGAATAGCCTGGAAGTCTCACCACTGGCGCTTTTTAGGGCTATTATAAGTATTTACG